GAATGGCGACGTCACGTCCCGTCGCTACGGTTGCTGTACCACCGCTGAGCAGCCGGGTCACCGGCTCGGCTCCTCAGCAAAAACCTGGTATGCGTTGCACTTGCTGCCTTTTTATGCTCACGCTGTGATCAGCGGCAGCTGGATGCAATCATTGCATGCCAATGTGCATTGGCTCGTTTAGTTACACTCGAAGTAGATTGGTCTCTCGAAGCGAGATCCCAATTCGTCGGTCACCGACATGACGTCTCCATTCCCTCCTTCAGGGAACGAGGGTTACATACGTAACAGAGACGTTCTTCTAACTCAGTGTGGTTTGCTGGTTGCACATAATTTCATTAGAAGCTGTTGTAACAAAAATATTGATGTAAACTGTTCAGTTAATTCATTTTTATTTTTTTTTTAACCGGCATATTATTTTTTAGAGTGCTGATAAAATGTTTCCAAGATGGTTTTAGTGTGACTTTCATGCAACAAAATAAAAAAAGTAGAAGTTTATTAGTTGTAATAAAAATCAATTCCTGGCACATTGTACTCACGGCAATGGCAGACTCAGCGATCGAACTATGACAAAATAAATAATTTACAATTCTCAATTTTTCTGACACAGCAAATTCGTGGCCAAAATCACACAGAGTGCACCAGGCTTAAGACTACATTTTCAATAAAAAAAAGACATTAAAGATGACGGATGAACGGATGACTATAGGTTGCATAAGACAATAAAATCAAGGCCGTTCAAGAACCAGACGGATTGATGAGCTTGTTGAGAGGAAATGGCAGTCAGCCAGATATCTCAGAGGTCAACACTGAAGGATACCTCTCCAAAGAAATGATGCTTTTAAGAAGGCCAAGGCTGCCAGGCCAGTGTTTCCTGTAGGGAAATCAGAAAAAGAGAGTGAGCGAGAGGGGGAAATAATAAAAGGAAGAGATGCATCGTGGTGAAGAAGCTAAACAAGTGAGGGCGGGGAGCCGAGAGAACATGTTCCGTTGAACTCTGCTAATTTAGATTAAAAAATTTCCATAATAATGAGATGAATTTCACTTGCCACACGTTACAATTACGCATCTTTTCCATGGCTAACCACAGCTAATTCATTCAGGTGGTGAGGCGCACCTCAGTGCATTTAAATATATTAATACCTCCATTCTCACCGCCAGTATTTATATACATTATTCCATTGTCAATCTTGTTTTATTAATCAAAGTAATTACACAAAAAGTGCATCAGGAGAAAGAATAATGTGACATTTTTACAAAAGTGAAAAATCCCCCCCATCTGTCCTTTATCATTTGCAGCAGCGCTATGTACAAACACTTGAGCGGTCTAATTGAGCTTTAGAGCAAGATGCCCAAATCAGATTTATGCAACCCATATGCTGCAAAGATAAACATGGCCGATGGGAAGAAAAAAATAGGATAATGTCATGTAAACTGCTTAGGTATTTCTTAAGGGTTTCACTGAATTGTTGTTGATCTTGAGATCTTCCTCTCACAATGTGCAACTCCTGTTTTTCAACTGCTGACTCCCTGCATCACCCTGGACTGAAGGCTATGCAGCCCACATGCTACTGTCAGGTTCGAGGCTTTTGCTTTCCTTTTTATGCACCTCTTGTCTCTGACAAGGCAGTAAAGAATATATCTGGAGTCTACAGTGATGACCGATTTGGAAACCGATATGCAAAGAATGAAGCTATACCTGTTGCTTAACCACGGAATAAGATTTTTGAATAAAAGTTGTATGGCTAAAGCCAAGTATACAATACAAGACTGAAGCATGTCACACTTTGATATTTTAAGTGGGTTAATTTATGACAGATGTCCCCAAAATAAACTCTAAAAAAATGGTGCTAAATATCACTAAAAGTGGTTAATTGTCTCATAATCACAGAGGAATCACTATACAGCACCTTTGTCAAGGTGCTATGTAGAACCATAAGATTCTCCTCCTTAGATTTTAGATATGTTACTTCAATCTCCTATGTTTGCTGTGAGTGGGAATTTGCTACAATGGCAAAAGCAAATCAGTGCAGAAATGTCCTCCATGTTGTGTGTACACATTTTGTCAATTAACAGGGTGCAAAAAACTTTTATTATCAGGGAGTTTTTAAAGATATCCAGGCCTGAAAACATTATAGAAAAGTGCAAAATGTTTAATAAAAGGCATGCAAATTTATAAGAAGAATACATGCCTTTTTTTTTTGTATTAGCAGTTTGTAGTTATGCCCTGCTGTTAAATATTTAATCAGCTAAAAACTGCTCTTTCTGAGTGCAATAAATGTTTTTTTTTTAATGCTTATTAAATTTTTTACTTTTGGTATTGTAGCTGAAGTCGGATAGAAGAATGATCTAGTTTGCAATCGGTTGTGTAAAGCGAGCACCAGCATGACAGAAAACAAGAAACTGTGAGTCTTTAAATGTGTGCAGGACGACAAGAATTGTAGTGTGTGCCTGGCATAAGCAAAAAAAAAAAAAACCTTTGAAATCTAACAAATGTGCTGCAGTGGCAGATCATTAATCTGCCAAGTTCACAAAGGACAAGAGAGGAAAGACTTTTTTTTTTTTGTGGGCGAAGTCATGCCATGGAGCAGTAGGTTAGCTGATACATGGCTATTTGTTTTGTATTCATTTTCAAGATTGTAGGTCAAACTTTAGTAAGGAAAGTTTATATTATAAGGTTATTTAATATTCAGCTGTGTGACAGTCAATTCTTAAAGTACAAACTGTAGTCTCTTAATTGTAAACATAAGAGGGTCACAAAACGTATTAAAGGAAGTATAGCATGTTAAAATGCATGTCAACTTTCCCAAAGTATTTCATGTCACTTCCCAATGACATTTGTGTCAAAGTATGTGCGTATGATTGCGCTTTTATTCCTAGATAATACAGGGCCATGACAGCATGCTCTGGTGAGAGAAGCGGTCAATGTTGAAATAAAGGCCTGCAGTCAGCCCTGTGAGAAGTTCCTCAGCATTATTTTTTCCTCTCCATCTGTCAAAAGCTGTGTCTCTCACTCCACTTAACAGCCTACAGTAAATAAAGAATGAAAGCTTGTCATAAATGCCTATATAGCTTATTAGAAGCTCTGCCGACAACTTCCAACGGCTAAAATCAACCAAATGAAGCAAAGGGAATGTTCTGTCAGGCAGGCGCTGATGTCATACATATCCAGGTCATTGTGAGGCTGGAAAGAAACATTTAGGCCTCCTGCTGCGCTGCTCTTTGGCCACTGATGGCATTTCTGTCCCATGATTCAGCCTTAGGAGTGATGCTCAGTTGCTTTCTTTCTTTTTCTGTTGCTTTTTCTCTCTATGCTCCACTTTTTTTTCTAGTGCTCTGTATAAGGCCTGTAAGGAGACATGTAAGCTAGGTTAATTTAATGGGACAATTTGCCGTAGTCAGATGCAAAATTGGTAGAACTGATATAATGGCATATTTGTATATGCCCACTTTGGGTGTTAGTCATGTTTAAGGAGTAGTTCACCCAAAAATGAAATTCTGCCATTATTTCCTTGGCCATTCTTAACCACATATGAATTTTACATGTAACAATAATGCTTTGTGGAATTTCTAAGCTGCTTTTTTCTATTCAAATAGTGCAAATGGCTATTCCATGCCTTGGCCAATAGTACAGTGTGATAAACTGATCAAAATGTAACTCATTTTTTGTTGAAAACATACTTCTTATCAAATCTCATCAGCATGATTGGTCATATGACATTGAAGAACCAATGAACCCATCATTGACATTAAATATGGTGTATGGAATTGGATGGAAGCTTGTTTCCGCTACAGGATGAAAAGGGAAGGTAATTGCAACAATTTGGACTTTTTTTCTTGGAAAAGTTACAAATGTGCATTTCTGACAAGAAAAGTCAGAATTGTGTGTTAAAAGTCGCAATTACCATTTTTATTTTTTATTTGTGGAGGAAACATTTTGTGAGATGTAAACCCAGAATTCATAGGGAAATTTTATTTTTTTTCCTCAGAATTGAGAATGGAATATAAAATATTGAAATTGCCTTTTTTTTATATTGTGGTGGAAACAAGCTTCCATAGATTTAAGAGCTGTGGATGAAAAGAGTCATTTATGGTGATTTATGTTGTTTTGTGGTGCATTTTTGGAGCTTGCCCAGTAAAAAAAAAAATCACTATTACTTTTAGTGTATTGAAAACCACAGACCAGTTGTTCTACAAAAAAAATATTGCCCTCCAAAAGTTGGGAAAATCCAAAGAAAAAAATCTGGTTTTAGACAGTGTCATTCAGAGCACTGAAAAATGCTAGAGCCATTTATAAACCTCCAAGCTGTTTTATTTGGTCTGTAAACAAAAAAAGTAAATCATTATTTCTGGTGTTTACTTATAATCACAAGTTGCGTTAATGCATTTACATCAATAAATAACAAGGATTTATGCACATACTGTCCAAAACCCTGCTTTGCCCTGAGAGTTTCCAGGCTTTTGGAGGGTAATTTATCTTTTGTGTTCAATGAAAGAAAGAAAGTTGTACAGGTTTGGAATGACATTAAGTTAGTAAATCATGACAGCATTTTCATTTTTCGGTTAGCCAATCCATTAAATATTCCTCCCTAGCCTGATCAAAGCACCTTTCAGAACATCCTCATCTTGTTATTTGAAGAACCAGTAGCCTTACTTCACCCTTTAGTAGAATTAATTTTGCAAACTGTGCAAACTGTAGACCCTTCTGGCACATGAACCCTCCATGAATAATACAAATTGATTCCGCAAAAAGGCTGTAAAACTTTGGACATTTACCCTGCTGCACTGGCTGAGTATGAACGCCAGGGTTTTTGTTTTAACACCCTCCACTCATGCAGGGAAAAATAAATAAAATAAACAAATAAATTATGTACCACCTCCTAGAGATTTATCTGGATGTTAATCTGTCAAGTCTATTGAGCCCAGAGTTCCAGTATTATCAGAAGAGTTTGTTATCTAAAAGCGTGGCCGTCTGTCCGACTCGAATAGACTGAGTTTCTTGTTGAAGGGCAAGACATTCTATCAATATTTAATCTACATAAAGTCAGACTTGTAGGGCATGAGCAGTTGTGGTGTTTAAATCCAACAAAATCCTTCTCTCCCTACAGCAAAACAGTTTGATTGGGATTTCATCTAAAATGGTCATGGCTTCAATTCCACTTTATCTTTTGTCTTGCCCCTACAGAATGAGATCCGCATTACTCTTGGGCTGGAACATGAGCTCACTAGGACGGGTCAAATGTTGACAACCGCGCAAACCTTGGCTGGTAACTTGAAAACACTTTAAAATGTAGGTGCAGATGGGAGACTTTAATAGCACTCAGGGGAGATGAGAATTTGGCAAGAGAGGATGGATTGCGTGCGAAAAGGCTGGAATTAACTTTTCACTGCAGTGGTGGGTCAGATAAGGGTTGCTGGGCTCAGACGGCAGCACCCTGGAGAAACAGTGGAAACGAGTGAGAAAGCGAATAATATAATTCAAAATAATACACTAGCAAAAGGTGTTAGTCAAGAAAAAAAATGCTAATAAATAAAGGTCTTACTGCAGTTTTGGAGAAGAAGTGACCCCACTCTGAGAACATGATTACTTTTTAAAGTGAAGCAGCAAGACGTCTTTATTCTTAACCAAATGCATCCTGTACAAGCATAAACATGGGGCAGAAATCACTTATCACTTTTAGACACAGTTGCTTTGGGTTTCTTCAGGAATATATATATATATATATATATATATATATATATATATATATATACACACACTCTTTATCTCTCTCCTCAGTTTTAAGGTTTGTTTTGAAATATATATATATATATATATATATATATATATATATATATATATACACACACGTTTTATGGCTCTCATCATTGTTAAAATCGTGTCCAATAATTAAACATTCATACACAGTGGCCACAATTTACTAAAATGAGGGAACCAATTAAAGGGATAGTTCACAAAAAAAAAAGAAAATTCTGTCATTAATTACTCACCCTCATGTTGTTTTCGAACCATAATACCTTCGTTCATCTCTGGAACACAAATTAATATATGTTTTGATGAAATCTGAGAGCTTTCTGACCCTGCATAGACAGAAAGGTAACTATCATGTTCAAGGCCCAGAAATGCAGTAAGGACATCGTTAAAATAGTCCATGTCACATCAGTGGTTCAACCTTAATATTATGAAGCTTTGAGAAAACTTTTTTTGCTCAACAGTGCTCAAATGTTATCGGGAATTTTAAGTTTTTTTTTTATTTCAGTACCGAATGGTATCACCGTCGGTACTTTTGACAACACTAGTCCCCACCCAACATTCTTTTTTGATAATCCGTTTCACTTGGATGTATGCCACAATACAGAAGATAAGATCTGTTGATATACAAATGTTTAATAGCAACTATATAAAAAAAAAAGAAAACGGTATGCATTGTAAGTAGCAGTTTTTATTTTTAGCCACGTGTTTTTAGATTTGCTAAAAATAAATATTTTTCATTAGATGTCATTTTTCTGTAAACTGGCTTCCATGTCTGGCTTATTTAAATCATATTTAAAAGTCTAGATTTGCAAGACAGCATTGTAAGAAGCAGTTTTTATTTTTAGCCATGAGTTCTTAGATTTGCTAAAAAATTGTCACGCTCCTGAACTCTGTGTTGTGTTTTCCCTCCCCAGGTGTGCCGTGTTCCCTTTAATTAGTTATTCCTTGCACCTGTGTTTTCCCAATCACCCAGTGTTTAAAAGCCCCAGTCCTTTCAGTTAGTGTTTATCGGTCCTCAAATGTCATTCCTTGTGTTCCAGCGTCTCCTACGTTCCCCGTGTGATCATTAAAGACTGAATTGAAGTTATCGCCGTGTTTCCTCGTTCCTCGCTCCTTGCCTCCTGAGAAGTGTGACAGAAGGACCAACCAAAACAGTAACTTCCGTGTATTCCCCTCCATTTGTTTTCCTTTTTTTTTTCTTTCCGTCGTGTTCCCATGGATCCCTTCACTTGCCCTGAATTCCTCCTCCACCTCCTCCTGCTGGAGCAGGGAGACAAAGCTCTCGAGGACCATACCAAACTGTTCCTGTTGGTCGCGAACATCACCAGCTATCCGGACGACGCGCTCTGTTCTTTCTATGATGCAAGCCTGAACGCCAAGTGCAGAGCGTTGTCGTCCGAAGATGGTCCTCGGGAGGAATTCACCGCCTTCGTGGAGTGGACTCTGGCGAGAAACGGGTCGCCACTCACCATCTGCCCCGCGGAGGATCTTGCCGGAGCCACTCCGGCCCCAGAGCCCAGCCTACCATCTCCCCTCTGCTCGCCCTCAGCCCACCAACATTGCGGTGCGAGCCCCGCAGGACTGCCATCCTCCAGCGTCACCGTGGTTGGAGTCTCCCTCACCTCCGCCTCCAGCCTCCGAGGCCCGGACTCCGCCTCGGCCCGTAGACCAAGTGGCTCCACCTCGGCTCCTAGCTCCCTCGCCTCCACCGTCACCCATCGATCCATCAGCTCCACCGGGCTCCCTCGTCCCTCCAGCTCCGCCTTGGTTGGGCGCCGACCCACCATCTTCATCTTCTAAAAATTTTAGGACTTCCTGTTTGTTGCTGCCGTGTGGTTAGAGTTTGAATGCCGTCAAGTTAATTCTTTGTCGTCCCATTTTTTTTTTTTTATCTTAAAATCAATTTTATACACCATCCTTTTTCAGTTCTATAACGTGTGAATGTATCTCCTATCGTATTCTACAACAAAAACAATCCGAGTGCTTTGTTAGCACTAGTTCTATTTTTGACTTCCGAGTCCGCTATTAGCATATAGCCCGCTAGCATCGCCAGCATGGTTGCCGCTAATCTCGTTTACACTAATACTCTATACACAGATTACCATTGTTTTACTCAGTTACTTGCTTTAATGGCGGATGTGTCTACCTTTTGAGTGCAGGTGAGGACACGTTCGAGCTGCATTCGGTGCAGCTCGTTAAACCAGAACAATTTAAAATAAATGAAAAACAATTTTTAAAGTTTGGGCTCCTAAACATTAGATCACTCTCACCCAAAGCAGTTATTGTAAATGAAATGATCACAGATAATCGTTTTGATGTACTCTGCTTAACCGAAACCTGGCTAAAACCTAATGATTATATTGGTCTAAATGAGTCTACTCCACCAAGCTACTATTATACGCATGAGCCCCGTCAGACTGGTCGTGGTGGCGGTGTTGCAACAATATATATATAGTGATATTCTCAATGTTACTCCGAAGACCGGATACAGGTTTAACTCATTCGAAATACTAATGCTTAATGCTACACTGTCATATCTGCAAAAGAAATCTATCGTATCTCTTGCTCTGGCTACTGTGTATAGACCACCAGGGCCGTATACAGATTTCCTAAAAGAATTTGCAGATTTCCTCTCAGACCTATTGGTTACTGTTGATAAAGCGCTAATTGTCGGAGATTTTAATATTCACGTTGATAATACAAATGATGCATTAGGACTTGCGTTTACTGACCTAATAACCT